GAAGGGCGGCGGGGTCGGGGCGAGGCCCGACGAGGAGGGCGACGACGACGGCGGTCGTGGGCGTCTTCCCGGGCGGGGTGGGTGGCGGCGACGGCGGCGGGGTCGGGGCCTTGCCCGGCGGGAAGGGCGGCGGCGTGGGCGCCTTGCCCGGCGGGAAGGGCGGCGGGGTCGGGGCGAGCCCGGGCGGGAAGGGCGGCGACGGCGGCGGCGTGGGCGCCTTGCCGGGCGGGGTGGGTGGCGGCGACGGCGGCGGGGTCGGGGCCTTGCCCGGCGGGAAGGGCGGCGGGGTCGGGGCCTTGCCCGGCGGGAAGGGCGGCGGGGTCGGGGCGAGGCCGGGCGGGAAGGGCGGCGACGGCGGCGGCGTGGGCGCCTTGCCGGGCGGGGTGGGTGGCGGCGACGGCGGCGGGGTCGGGGCCTTGCCCGGCGGGAAGGGCGGCGGCGTGGGCGACGCAGCCTCCTCCGTATGCGAGTCGGCTGCCTCACGGCACGTGCCAAGATTGCTCTCTCCGCCACCGCAGCAGTCGAGCACACACTCGCTGTACGCCTCGCACCCGAGACCCGCGCACGCGCCCTCCGCCGCATCCAGCGGCACGCCCGTCGCGTTGCACGTCTCCTCGATCGTCGGCGGGTCGCACGGAGAGCGCGACGCCGCGCCGCTCCCCGGGCAGAAGGCGTCCAGTGCACTGCGCTGCTCAGCACTGAAGAGCGACGACGCGTTCGACACCGCCGCGCACCCGTCCTCCTCGCAGCTCGGGGCCCCCGCGCAGCGCGTCACGCACTGACCCGTTGCGTTGGCCCAGCTCGCCAGCACAGCGGGCGCGTGCACGTATGCGCTCAGCCGGTAGCCGCCCCACACTCGGTACGTAAAGCCGCCCCACACGCTCTCGACGCGCCACCGCCTGCGCCCGGCCGCACCCACGCGCAGCAGCCGCAGAGACCCCGCGCCGCCGACCTCCACCGGCGCATTGCCCGCACCCTCGAGCGCGTATGCGACCGTCTGCCCGTCGGGAGACGCCACCTGCAGCCCCGGCGCGTCGCCAAAGAGCAGCACGCTCACCACGTGCTCGCCCACGCGCGCCGCAAGCGCGATGTTGCCCGCAACGGCCGAGGTGGGCGAAAGCGGGCACTGGAAGGTCTGCACCGCAAAGGGCGCGCGCGACGTCGCCGAGAAAAGTGTGTACGTGCCGTGGCCCTGGTGGTCGTACTTGGGCAGGCTGAACGGCACCAGGTGCGGATCGCCCCAGCTGACGCACACCTGGGAGGGTGGCGGCAGCGACGGCGGCGGCGGCGACGACGGCGGCGACGGCGGCGACGGCGGCGGCGGCGACGGTGGCGGCGACGGCGACGGGCAGGTGGCTGGCAGCGGAAGCGACAGCGACGCAGCCTCGTCCGCGTGCGCGTTGGCTGCCGCGCTGCAGTTGCCCAGGTTGCTCTCTCCGCCACCGCAGCAGTCGAGCACACACTCGCTGTACGCCTCGCACCCGAGACCCGCGCACGCGCCCTCCGCCGCATCCAGCGACACGCCCGTCGCGTTGCACGTCTCCTCGATCGTCGGCGGGTCGCACGGAGAGCGCGACGCCGCGCCGCTCCCCGGGCAGAAGGCGTCCAGTGCACTGCGCTGCTCAGCACTGAAGAGCGACGACGCGTTCGACACCGCCGCGCACCCGTCCTCCTCGCAGCTCGGGGCCCCCGCGCAGCGCGTCACGCACTGACCCGTTGCGTTGGCCCAGCTCGCCAGCACAGCGGGCGCGTGCACGTATGCGCTCAGCCGGTAGCCGCCCCACACTCGGTACGTAAAGCCGCCCCACACGCTCTCGACGCGCCACCGCCTGCGCCCGGCCGCACCCACGCGCAGCAGCCGCAGAGACCCCGCGCCGCCGACCTCCACCGGCGCGTTGCCCGCACCCTCGAGCGCGTATGCGACCGTCTGCCCGTCGGGAGACGCCACCTGCAGCCCCGGCGCGTCGCCAAAGAGCAGCACGCTCACCACGTGCTCGCCCACGCGCGCCGCAAGCGCGATATTGCCCGCGACGGCCGAGGTGGGCGAAAGCGGGCACTGGAAGGTCTGCACCGCAAAGGGCGCGCGCGACGTCGCCGAGAAAAGTGTGTACGTGCCGTGGCCCTGGTGGTCGTACTTGGGCAGGCTGAACGGCACCAGGTGCGGATCGCCCCAGCTGACGCACACCTGGGAGGGTGGCGGCAGCGACGGCGGCGGCGGCGACGACGGCGGCGACGGCGGCGACGACGGCGACGGCGGCGGCGGCGACGGCGGCGGCGACGGCGGCGGCAGTGCAGGCAGGGGTTGCGTGAGTGGTGCTGCCAGCGGAGGAGGCAACGAGGGCGGCTGTGGTGTTGTCGTAGGCGAAGGAGGTTCAGCTGTGGGCATTGCAGATGTCGGTGGAGAGTGAGGTGTGTCGGTTGTGATGAATGAAGGTGGCGGTGGCTGGGGCGCCTTTCCGGGTGAGAATGGCGGCGGCGAAGCTGGCGGCGGAGGTGGTGGGTCTGAAGGGGGCGGTGGTGGCGGTGGCCGCGGCGCCTTTCCGGGTGAGAATGGCGGCGGCGAAGCTGGCGGCGGAGGTGGTGGGGCTGAAGGGAGCGGTGGCGGCGGTGGCCGCGGCGCCTTTCCGGGTGGGAATGGCGGCGGCGAAGCTGGCGGCGGAGGTGGTGGCGCTAAAGGGGCTGGTGGTGGCGGTGGACGCGGCGCCTTTCCGGGTGAGAATGGCGGCGGCGAAGCTGGCGGCGGCGAAGCTGGCGGCGGAGGTGGTGGGGCTGAAGGGAGCGGTGGTGGCGGTGGCCGCGGCGCCTTTCCGGGTGAGAACGGCGGCGGCGAAGCTGGCGGCGGAGGTGGTGGGGCTGTAGGGGGTGGTGGTGGCGGTGGCCGCGGCGCCTTTCCGGGTGAGAATGGCGGCGGCGAAGCTGGCGGCGGAGGGGTCGGGGCGAGGCCGGGCGGGAAGGTCGGCGACGGCCGCGGCGTGGGCCCCTTGTCGGGCGGGGTGGTTGCCGCCCACGGCCTCCGGAGTCGGGGCCTTGCCCCG